CGTTCGAGAAACTACAAGAAAGAAATTATTCAAGAATGCCCTGATTTCTGCAGAGAAACTTACGAAAATGTAGTTATGTACGATGGATTTGTAAATTGTTCAATAGGGAATTTGGATGAAATAACAATCATTAGATAATCAAATAAATGAAAGGTACAGAGATGTGAATAAGGATATTTTCGCTAAATTTTTTCAAATCTATTCAAAAATACAATATGAATTTTTAAAAATTATGTTGCCGTCTCTGCCTTACTTGCATTGGCTTATGGCATTACTACTAAATGACGTCACATAGTATCAGTCTTTTTACTCCTGTAACTTTGTTAATTTTGAAGATATATTCAAATTTTGTTCGCACAGATCAGCTCCAAACCTTTTGAGTAATCAATTCAAAAACTTAAAAAAAAAAAATGGTCAAGTTCCCTATTTAACCCGTCATTACACGCGTCAAAAAACTTACGTCATTACACGCGTTCGGTCAAATCGACCGACTGCCCAAAAGTTTATATAAATTATTAGCTTTTTTCGTCGAGACGATCTCAATCCTGAACGCTAAGTGCGCGTTCACATTGACACCGCTCGAGCGGTGAGCGTTGCGCGATGCCGCTGTAGCGATGCCCAAAAATAATTTTAACATTATATTTCAAATGAACATGTTAACACAGCGGGACGCGCCGCTCCAGTATGAACATGTTCATTTGAAATATAATGTTAAAACTATTTTTGGGCATCACTACAGCGGCATCGCGCAATGCTCACCGCTCGAGCGGTGTCAATGTGAACGCGCACTAAGGCATGGCCTACGCAGGTTTACTAATCAATAGAGGCATGAAACTTTCAAATATTACCTGCGTAAGTGTACGAACACAGTGCAAGCAGGTTTCCGCTTGCCGGTAACCAGCGCCGAGTCGCGTTTATAGGCGTGAAAAATGAATGCATGTTTTTAAATCGGCTAGAACACAGTAAAAAGCAGGTACTCTTCCTGCTTTTTACTGTGTACTAGCTGATTTGGAAACATGTATTCATTTTTCGCGCTTATAATCGCGAGTCGGCGCTGGTTACTGGTAAGCGTAAACCTGCTTGCACTGTGTTTGTACACTAAGTTATGCCTTAGCGTTCAGGATACGTTTGGGATCGTTTCCGCGAAAAAAGTGTACAAGCACTGTAATTCCTAGAATTCATAATTATTACAAAGGGAATTATTGTATTATGCAGTACAGTTACCGTATTATCGATAGCCAAAAGTACTCCCAATATCAGAAAATGCCAATTTTGAACAAACATATTTTAGATACTCAGGCTCATGCGCCTAGTCAAAAGCACCGACTATAAAAACAACGAACTATACTTCAACCAAAAACCAAAATATTTTTGGGCCAATGGGTAGTGAAAAACCTGCATCAGGCATTCCTGGATGGACAAAACTGCCACCCTTGTACCAGTGGCGTTATTACTGATTTTATCATTGGTCGGTCTTTTTGACCGACGCGCGTGTACTTCCGGGTTAACTAAATTGGAGAAGGTTTCAAAATGATTAAATAATTTTCTTCATAGGTACCTACATACTGTTTGTTTCCCGACGGTTTGTACTTACGTCATCATTTGCCTTCATTTTTTACCAAATAAAAATTGACTAAAACAAATTAATGGAATCAAAAACGTTCGTTGGTTCTTAACCCGGGAGTACACGCGTGTCGGTCAAAAAGACCGACCATTGATAAAATCAGTAATTACGCAACTGGTACAAGGGTGGCAGTTTTGTCCATCCAGGAATGCCTAACGCAGGTTTTCCACTACCCATTGGCTCAAATATATTTTGGTTTTTGGTTGAAGAATAGTTCCTTGTTTTCATAGTCTTTGCTTTTGACTAGGCGCCCGAACCTGAGTATCTAAAATATTTGTGTTCTAAATTGGCATTTTCTGATATTGGGAGTACTTTTGGCCGTCAATAATACGGTAACTGTACTGCATAATATATTTCCCTTTGTAATGATTATGAATTCTAGGAATTATAATGCTTGTACACTTTTTTCGCGGAAACGATCCCAAACGTAACCTGAACGCTAAGGCATGAATTGCGCAAGTAATATTTGAGAGTTTCGTGTCTCTATTGATTAGTTGACCTGCGTAGGTCATGCCTTAGCGTTCAGGATACGTTTAGGATCGTTCCCGCGAAAAAAGCTAATAATTCATATAAACTTTTGAGCAGTCGGTCGATTTGACCGAACGCGTGTAACGACGTAAGTTTTTTGGCGCGTGTAATGACGGGTTAAAACTAGCAGTCACTCAATAAATTTGTTTAAAAAATTGATTGTGTCAAAAGACGCGTACATAAATAAAAATAAACGTTACCTTCGGGATTAAAATTACTATTTGGGTTCCGCGGTATATAATACGCAGTTAGGTAATTAATTTATATATTTTCGGATAGCTCAAATGCTATTCTATGCAAATGCAAAGCCAAGTTGAAAATTTCAATATGAAATCTGGACGAATATATTATAAATTAATCTAGGTACGACAAACCTTTTTTTTCCAAGTTGTCAATGTCATAAGTACCTTCGTTAAATAAACCTTACATACATAATTCATTTCGTACTGATCTTGGACTTTTTGTCGCAGCAAATCGATGTAGCTCTTCTTGCTGATTCATATACATAGATAGTTTTTTTTTTATATTATCCAACAAAAATCATCTAGAGATTAGCAATAGCCCGGAATAGGACGTATTTTAACGAGTTATTATCTATTTCTATTGACTAGGCACAATAGTAAAGTTGTGGCGCAACTAAAAACAAATATAAATAACGTTTTTTCCATAGCTACTGGTAAAGTAGCCTTTAATCTACTAAAAATAGTAGATAAAGTAGTACTTTAACCGCAAGGGTAGATTAAATGCTAATTTAACAGTAAGGATAGATAAAGACGTTTATTTTGTCAAAAATATATACATATTTTGTTTTTTATTTATTTGTCAAAGTTTGTCAAACGAATTTCTACTTATGCAAAAGTGTTCGATTCAAATAATTTCTAAATATTTTTGATACTACAGGCGTACGTAATTAGGCTATGGAAAAAACTTTGTTTTACACACGACGATAAAATGCCATTATCGTCTCCCTTTTCCGGGCGTTTTATCGTCTTGTATAAAAAATAACTATAATTACCCGATTATCACTTTATTTTGGGTGTAATTTGACTAATTCTAAGTAGAACTATATTTGTTCGATTTGATGCGTGGTATAATAATAATTAATTTTGTTTTTAGAAAAATTATTCTATGATGAACGTATTAAAAGGTTACTTTTTTTGATTCTTTAGATATTGCGCTATACATCATGAATAACTATGCATTGGTGAATCGAAAACCACTTTCACAAATATTCCTACATATTATAGTAGGTAAGTACAACAATTTAGAAAGCATTCCTTATAATAATATTTTATTGAAATTCAGTCATCAATATTTAGATTGGGTTGCTGAGGTAGGAGGGGTAATCAGTAATCACTAATACATGGTTGCAGAGCCCCGTCGGCATCTAAACATTCCGGTATAGGATTCGGCACCTAGGCATATTTCATTGGTCCGTTTGAATTTGGACCGCCAATTAATGCGGAGCGCCGAAATCAAAATGTTAAACAGTGCCCAGCTGCAGGTTGGAATGTTAAGCCTAGTTCTCATGGTGCGGGATTCCGCATTGCGGGTCCGGAAATCGCAGTTTTTTGAAAATCGTAATTTTTGATGGTTCACATGAAACGGAATTCCGGATGCGGTTTTATGTCAAATACATGTGATCTTAACCTAATATATTTTTTGTTTTTGTTTTCCTGTGTGCCTGGATGGATAATTATATTGCACAATTAAATTATTATCAATGGAAAAGACAGAGGGAGGTATGAAAAAAAAACAAAGTATCTGCTACCACGATAAGTAGTAGTATATTCTTCTGATTCCCGACTAATACGTTAGTATTGGGTTTGCTATTAATCCATAATATGCATGAAACTTCATCAAAGAAGCAGAATAGCAGAGGAATATTAAAAAAAGGAAGATGTTGTTCAGAAATATTCTTCTGAAAAGGCATGAACAAGGGGTTTGCCGTAATAATATGTATTTGAAAATAAAACAAGCACACAAGCAAGCAGATCAATTTATTTTTGTTAGGTATTAATTGTTTTATTGTTTTTTGTTTGAGGTTAGTTTATTTGTTTATGTAGAAATCAAACAAAGATGAGAAATGTTTAGACAAAGACAGAAAAAAAAATCGCAAGTTGAAAATGGTTCAACTTTATTGCGGATCCGCAAAAAAGTTGACGTTTTCCCGCCAACGGAATTATTTCAAAAATTCCGCACCCGCAATCCGGAATTCCGCATCATGAGAACTAGGCTTTACTCCGTTAGCGCGGCACAATAGTTATTTGTGTACCAAGGCCGTAAAGTTGATCTTTTTTGGCCGAATCAGAAATTTGCGGCCGAGGCGTAGCCGAAGCCAAGCAAATTTCAGGTGAGCAAAAGGTAGATACACAATTATCAATATAAAACTACGATAAAGTGATTATAGAAATTTGCCGACTTTTTCGCCTGGTATCTTACATTGAGCTTCTTTAAAAAAGCAATCAATTTTGAAAACTTGCTGATATGTTAGATATTTCCGACTATAATTGTAAATTTTACCATAGACTATAACATTGAGGATTATTTAATTTTGTTAAGAAAATACTTCTCCCAAATTTTTAATCATGCCGTTTTTTTTTAGCATTTTATGTGGAAATTTGTAGCGGCCGTAAAGTAAAAGCGGCCGTGAAGTAAGAGCGGCCGTAAAGTAATAAAGCAAATGCGGCCGTGAAGTAAATGCGGCCGTAAAGTGAATGCGGCCAAAAAAGATATACTTTAGGGATGATATTGAATCCGTAAAACTAGTCTTTTTGTGACAGTCGCCTAAAAAATCAACATACAAACTTCATTTACTTTTTGTTACACATTCATTTTATTTCAACGATACATTTCAAAAATCTTGGACAATAATTTGCAGTGGCGGAGCCAGGGGGGATTATAAAATCCTGAAACCTGGCAAATTAGAGTAGAAAATTTTGGAAAAAAATATCCTAATATATTTATCTTTTTTTTTTATGCTTAGTTTAATTAAAATATCAATTAAAGCCAGACAACAGTAGTTTTTTGGATTTTCCTTTCTTATTATTTCCTTGATCCACTTTTTTGTAAGCACTATGATGGCATACAAAAACATATCTAAAAAATCTATTTTCTAAAGCCTATGTCATTGAATTGACATTGTACACAAACCTGCATTTGAATCTGTTATAATTATTCTTCGCAGACTTCAAGTTCGTGTATGTTATATCACTATACTCTTCTATCCATTGCTTTATGTCGTTTTCCTCCAAAATGTTGGCTCGGTAAATTTGCTCACCACATTGAAAGTGTTCAAGTGATCCAGGCAAACTTATCTTGCATGTTTAAGCACAAGAACACATGAAGCAACGGCCAAATAGACCGCATCCGCCGTAAAATTATAGCTAAGAGGAACACGAAGGAGGTGGACAGCTGATTTAATATAAAAACATTCGGACCTGATGCTCACTGTTTGATATTTTCACCTTAGATTCGGCACTCCACATGGCTGTTGCTAATGGACCATTCTGACCTGAGGCTCAGCACGGTTCAACATTCAAGTACCGATTTCGGCACTCCACATTAATTGGCGGTCCGAATTCAAACGGACCAATGAAATATGCCTAGGTGCCGAGTCCTATACCGGTGTGTTTAGATGCGCCCCGTCGATATTACTTGCCAAAACTGTAGCAACCATTTCTAAAAATATTTTCTATTACGCATGCATCATAATCAACGATTATCGCACAATGCAGCGTGCATAAAATGAGGTTTATGATACGCCTACCTTTTCAAAGGTTTGCTAGAAACGTTTGATCAACCTTTATTACCTAGATATTCACCTGCCGTTTAAATTACTATTATTTATCAAAATGAATGAACACACTTAAAACATTTTTCACATTATGATGCATTCGTAACAAAAAATAGCGTATGATATGCGTGTATAAGAGGGCTTTTAAAGCCCTTGCGACTTACAAAACCCTCCGCTGCGCGTCGTGTTTTGAAATATGTCGCGCGTGCTTTAAAGGCCCTCTTATATACTTATATCATAATAGGTATACTATCTTGGTTTTGGTGACAGGCAAGCATTTTGTTGGATATGTAACAACGTACCTAAGTACTATCTTTTTGTAATAATAATAGGATATCGGTCAAAAATTATATTAGTAAAACTTTCATACACCATCAAGCTTTCGAAACTAATTTGTTTTTTCCTCAGGACTGAATAATATTTATAATAATAATAAATAACCATATTTTGAAATGAGACAATATTGAAGAGAATTATTTGTAAATTCATACCTTATTGTGAGTTTTATTAAATATTTGTGGTTTCATTTGTATGTATGAAAATAATTAAAGATAATAATAAAAACTTGTAAATAATGGTATAAATTGTTTGAAAATTTTCTTTCTTTTTGATTTATAAAATTTATTTGTCAATATATTTTTGGTGGTAATAGGTAGTACCTACTATGTAGTTGTACATACAGTGAGAATCAATGCAATAAGGATTGTCAATCAGCTTTTATTCTGTGGGGCATGCGCGAGTCACGTTAAAAGTGTTTATGTCTGATTGACCAATAAAGTGCTATTTATAGAACAGTGCTGCATCAAAAAATACTAGTAAAATAAACTGCTACTTTATTGCCTATCTGTACTACCTGACAACCTGCCAAGGTGGAACAGGTAGGGGAACCCGGGGCAGAACGGCATACCTAAGCTTTAAGAGGCCTTTTCTTCAAGGGATTTTAAAATTTCGAAACCAACTTAGGACATGTCCTTCTTTATTGGTTAAATAACACCCAAGAAAAGTTTGAGACGAATATTATCAGACAAAAAATATGTTTTTGACACTCAAAATAAAATTGTCAAAATGACCATTCTGCCCCGACTATGGGTCAGAATGGCCCTATCTTGGGGCGGAATGGTCATTATGGTAAAATAATGAAGTAACCGTATTTTTAGGCACAAATGAAACACTCAAATATTAAATACACAATTTTATATTAATTTTAAACTTAGTGCCAGATTTCGCAGACAAGGACAGTCTCCTCGTCGTCGCTATCGATACCCGCGCAAGTATTATGAGTCCATTTTTTGTAAATTGAGCATGATATCTAATAAAATTCTGTAGATTTTGAGTAAAAGTCTTCACAGTAGAGGCATTGGGAATCATCACTTTCACTTTCGCTGGAAGAACTTGTTTCGCCGTTTACAGGAATCCTTGTGTTTTGTTTTTTTTTATTATTCTTTTGCATAATCTTCGAGCGAATAACTTTTTTATTTTTGGGTTTTTTGCCAATTTATATTCTGCTATTGATTCATCTGGACTGCATTCTATTAAAGACGACATGCGTGAAACTCTTCTTATAATCGCAAAAATTCATATGACTGTTTGCTAATTTTATGCGGGGCAGAATGGTACCCTAGTCTATTTCACCCTCTAATTTCATGAGGGGCAGAATGGTACCCTAAGACCATTCCGCCCCGATCCGTTCTGCCCCGAATTTGGTTTAAAATTTTTTTCTAAAAAATAAAACAATATCATTGAGGAAAAATATCAACACTACCACCACTAATGCTTGACATCATGTACTACGTGAAAAATATAATAACAATGACTTATTATTTATGTACAATACTTACTTTTCATTAAATTTCGCAAAAAATTATAAAATTTATTCAGAAATATGGACATGCATGAATAGGCTCGTTTAGTGAAGTTTCATTAACCACGTTTTTTGATATTTTTATGGAGTATTACTCACATATAGCACACACACAAAAAATCAGCTCAATTGGATAAATATTAAAAAACTTATGCTGCTTTGGATATTAAAACATTTTGCCTCAGAAATTCATCGCTTAGAGATGGTATGACGTCATCTCTCGAGTCAAGATGGGCTAGAGGCCGTCACACGACCAACGTGAGAGATGCAGTGACGTCACCGCGTGTTTCAAAACTTTCAAATTTGGAGCGTTTTGATAATTTATTTAAATATGAACAAGGGCTCGGAAAATTATGAAATTTTGCACAACTGCTAAACTCAATACGCTCTTTCAGAATATGTAATAAAAAAAAATGCTGTACGAGCCTATTCCGTTAGACTAAAGTTGTTTTTGCACTGGCATTTATCAAAACATAATAGAGTATAGTCTAGGGTATGGTTATAACGCGATTTCGATTTACTATTTTGGTTGCGGCTGGTGTTAGGAGGCCTATTCCGGTGTGCCCCGGTATACCGTTCTGCCCCGGGTTCCCCTATGCTCAAATTTTAATTTTTTCATTTAATTTTTAAAATTTCTAATAAAACCAGTCGCAATCGTACAAAAAATGATGCATATAACGCATCTATAAACAGCCTTTATTATTTAATAATTTAAAAGTATTCGTACAATAAAGCCTCACTTCATGTACTTGTTTTATAAATAGCTATTAGACAAACAAACAAAGACACAAATCCCTACGCTTTATTATGACTATGACTTTGACATTATTTCATCAGCACATGTGCCGGTTGTTTGTCTAAACAATTTTATTATAACTAATATAGGTGACCATCGTGACTAGCCCTATTATTGGCACATACTATAACATCCCTCGCAATGTGTCAAAATTTTACTCACTTTTCGCACTATTCAAAAGACGTGAAATTTCACTTCACGAACTAGTGCGTGAAGTAATTCACTTTACACCTAGTGCGTGATGACAGATGTCGAGATTGTCAATTTAGTTTTTTTTTTTCTGCTACCGTGCGTAAAGTACTCACTTTTACGCACTATTCAAAAGGCGTAAAATTTCACTTCACAATAATTCATTCCACATACTTGTGCGTGAAGTATTGTCAATAACAGATGTCGACACTGTCAATTTAGTATTTATCTACAAAATTACTTCACGCACTAGTGCGTAAAGTGGAAATACTTTACGCACTAGTGCGTAAAGTATTTGTCTAAATTAATTTTTTACACATATTTCATTGGTAATTGAAAATTGTGTGCAATATGTGTATTAAGCATAATTTTTCACTCATGTCACATTCGTGAAACAAGGTTCACTTTAGACACTTGTTGCATAGATAGCTATTTTTTAGTACCCCTCGTAAAGTCCTCACTCACTTTACGCACTGTTCAAAAGACGTAAAATTTCACTTCACACACTAGTACGTCAATGACAGATGTCGGCACTGACATTTTAGTATTTTTCTATTAAATTACTTCACGCACGTGCGTGTTTGTCTAAATCTATTTCTTTACACATATTTTATTGGTAGTAGAAAAACTTATGTATGCAATATGTGTGTATAATGAACCTTTTTTCACGAATCTGAATTTTGACACTCACATTAGTGAAATTGTTGCATAAATAAGTAGCTATACACCGCTGCAATAAATCGATTTATTGGTTAGAATTTTGACTTAATACGAGGTATCTTAAAAGAGTATTGGCCAATTGCAATGATTCGCACTTTACCTAATAGGTAAACAATTCATTGGAAAGAGTAAAAAGTGTTATTAACATTTTAATTTAACTGATATTTTTTATAAAATCAAAAGTTATAAAGTTAGTGAATAAGAATAAATAATGCTCCATATTTTTTTTTTTATGTTAATTGAGTTTTCATGTTTTCGAATTTCTACCATTACTATAATTAATCTTTTAACCTAATTTTCTTCTTCATACGCGTGGGCAAAAAGAATGAAACACCTAACACCAATACAGGGTGTCCCAAAAATAGTTCTCCATAAACCCGTCATTCGACACCATCAACTTTGAATTTAATCGGAGATTAGTTTAACAGGAATTTTTAATCATGGATTAAATTCGAAGTTGGTGTCAAATGATGAGTTTATGGAAAACTATGACAAGAATATATGATCGGTTTTGCTCTAAAATTAACCGTTTAGGTGTCTCTCAAACTTAGGTCAAGTTAAGGTCTCTCAAATTTGCAAAAAAGTCAATTTTCAACTGTCAATATTTCTGAAAAAGTTAAAGATAGGTATAGGATATTATACATAAAATATTTCCATAATTTATCGTAGAATCCAAAAATGCAATAAAATACAGAGTTGCCATTAAAAATACAAAGTTGATGCAAGTAACCCGATTTTTGCAACACCCTAGGTATATACCGGGTGTCTACGAGATTAGTTTCGCGCTGGCATTTGCTGGGTTTTTCTTCAATAGCAAATATTTTTGGTATCGAGTTTGGTATAGAGTATAGTTTTGAGAAATGTCATCTTTTGACATATGTGTCAATGTTTGGTAACTTCCGGTTTGACTGGAAATGGCCCTAACTTCGTAATTTCGAATGGCATCCCAAGAATGTTTTCGCATTTTTGGGATCTGCGGGTCATGAGGTGTATGAAAACGTCAACGTCTTAATATCCACTTATACTTTAATATACTATTTTAATTATTTTTATTATGCACTACTATAAATGATAAGATAAAACTACTTATAAATGAACCCTTGTATTCAAACTTTGTATTTACAAATTCCCGAGATGCCAAACAATGACAAATGTCTATGCAAACAAACATATCTTGTCCATAGATCTTGTCAATGGATTGACAAGTAAAAAAAGACCTCCAGCTCCTTTTAGACAGCGTTTTTTCATACAGGGGTTCATTTATAAATAGTTTCATCATTTATCGTAGTGCATAATAAAAATAATGAGAAAATAAATGAAAAGTTTTAATGCATAGTTAATTTCATTTTGGAAAAGGTAAAAATCTTTTGTTGTGAAAGTTGGGTGATTTCACTGATTTCATTGAGTTATCACGTAAAATGTGATTTTTTCAACTTTGGAAGCCTTTGAAGAAGAAGCAAAGGATAACAACTTGGCAATCGCATTTTTCTACGATCGTGTGAGTTGAAAAAAACAGTTTAAAGGCCATTCTTTCACTTTCTATTCAAAAATTAATTTTGATCCAGAATTCTTAAGTTTCTTCAAAAATGTTCAGATTTGACGTTTTCATACACATCATGATCCGCAGATCCCAAAAATGCGAAAAAATTCTTGGGATGCCATTCGAAATTACGAAGTTAGGGCCATTTCCAGTCAAACCGGAAGTTACCAAACATTGAAACAAGTGTCAAAAGATGACATTTCTCAAACCTATACTCTATACCAAAAATCTTTGCCATTGAAAAAAAAAACCAGCAAATGCCAGCGCGAAACTAATCTCGTAGACACCCGGTATATATATATATATATATTTTTTTTTTTTTTTCAAAAAATGCGCAGCTTAAAAATAAAACTGACGGGTCCGAGCAATTTGTCAAAAAAAAAGATTGTCTTCAAACCCCTGAAGGTGTTCCATTCTTTTTGCCCACGCTGTATAATATTTGAATGCTGTTATAATGAGGAAGATGTCCAGTTGTGAATTTATGTTGAGCTATAGCAGTGGTCTCTTTACTCAGTCTTACATCACTTTTATGTCCTGTCATTCTTTTTTTAAAAGTTTGTCATGTTTGGCCAATTTTTTATGTATGGAATTGAAGCATAATGAATGTTTCGATTGTTTGGTAAATTTTGATTTATAAAATAGTATATTATGCAATGATCATGTAATGATAGCCATTAATACACGAGCATGTTGTAGGATAGGAAACGAGCCGCAGGCGAGTTTCGTATATAACATGCGATAACTTTTAAGTTATTGTGCATGAAACTATTTGCCAAAAAGCAAAATAATGCAAAAAATATTTGGATAGTTTAATCCATTTAAATTTATAAGCCGCGTAGTATACGGCTAGATTATTTCCTGAATAATTAGGATTGAAGTGTTGCCGTCAATCCTATCCAAAGAGTTCTATTTATTATAAAATGTCAGAATATTTCTATCAAAATTCTGTCAAACAAGGTAAACAAAAATTTAATCGCGAATAAACAATGTCTTGTGCAATAATCATTTACTTAAACAAAATTCATTGAAAAAATGACGTTGTCTGATGGGTCTATTTTATAATGAATGAAATAATCATAATTATTAAATACATTTAAAATTTCAAAATGTCACTAAAAATAATAATATAAAAGAATGAAGCTGTGAGAATATACCAAAAGGGAATTTTAAAATATAAAATTAATGGGCAATTCCATTTGATCGTTCAATAGATTTACTCATTTGTGTGTATTTCTACTGCTTCCAGAATGATAACTTTTTAGCTTTTCGGAGTTGTGAAGCGTGACGAACGCAAGTTTTTATTTGAGCCACAGATGGCCGATGCAAGCGCATCTATCGGCCAGAAATTTTTATACTCTCATTATTTTCCATAAGGTTGGGTATCTTCCCAAACAATACTCAATCAACGGTATTATAAAAATCTTTTATCGTTCTATACCTACACAAAAAAAATCAGTTCAAAAATATTTATCCAGAGCCCGTACCACTCCCGGGCAGTATTTCGTAGCTAGTTTTAAATAAGGTACATTCGTATCTGTTTTTGATATATTTTGACGAAAACTGAGTTTATTCCAGACGTGCGTCAAGTAACTTTGTTTTTCAATTAACGGTACTAAAATATTGCCTAAATTTTCATCAAAGAATAATCTCCATTGGGTATAGTGCAACATGTAGAAGGCACTTGGCGGAAAAATTTTAAATTCTTCACATCGACCGAAACGTATTATTGTGTACCAGTCAAATTGTGGACAGTGACTAAAAATGTTTCTAAAAAAAAAAAAATATACCTGTTGTACATCCAATTGTTATTGAAAAAAAAATAAACAAACGAGAGCTCACCGAGTTAATAATTGAGGTCCATTGAAACTCCACTGTTGCCCATCAAAATTCTGACTAATATCATTAATGCATTCATTAATATATTCTTTTCCTTTTCCGTCCTTGCCAAATCCAATTACACCGTTTGCTACTAAAACATCAGATTCGGCACCTCCAAAATTGTCAGGTAGATCTTCTAAATTTTTTGTTACAATAACATCTAAATCAAGGTAAATACCGCCGTACTTCCAGAGAGCAAGTAGCCTGAAAGATCTCATGGTACCTATCCATGTTGTATATTATCATAAAATGTTTTCCTACCTTAAAATATCACTTGTATGTGCCATTGGAAAAAGAGAAACTCTAATTTTTCCAGTTGTCCATAAATTTTCCACTGGCGAGTTCTGAACAAATCTTTTAATATTGAAATGTAGTATTTTTATGTTCGGATATAATTTCAAAACTCTTAGAATTCTATCTGATTCAGAATCTTCATCTAAAAATAAGGAAGTTGAAAGGATAAGCATCTAATGATGTATAGTGAGGAAAACCACCTATTTAAAATATTATTTCATTGAATCTTAACTTTTTAAAAAACGTTAACTGAATAAAAGTGGATGTTGCAACCATGTAATGCTCTGTGGAATTGATGAGAACGAGAGCGCGCTGCAACAGAAAGGTACCGAAGCGAAGGGTAGGTAGAGAATACGTACCTAGACTAGAGAACAAGCTGGGCTGGTCCCTAAGACGCGTGTCTGTAATTATTCATTATTCAATTTTCATTTTTATTTTAAATTGATTGTTCAATTATTTATAAAAGTATCGTTTTTCATTTTTATGTTTTTTTTTGTTTGTTTATAACAATTTTTTATAACATGTGCATTGTTTATGTATTTAACAAAAATCATTTCATGCTGTAAAGAACACAGGTGAAGAAGTAAATTAAAACCTAAGAAATTATGTGCTGTCCTTTTGAGCTGAGATTTCGATTTTGTGTATGTTGTACGTACATTAGGGCCTTGTTGAATTTACTAACATTTTCCTACCCTGACGAGCGAATATCCTACCAAACAAAGGAAAGAGATATTGGCTCAAAATAACAACTATAGCTGGGTAGTATCCCGTATGGGACCTCAGTACCTTCCGGCAGACCGGCTAACTAACCAAAAGCTCTTCAGTATTGATTATAGGTAGTGTTGATTGAATGTTGTGTGTGTAATTGAAATTTTAGCACAAGAACAGAGACTGTACCTAATTTAAACTTTTATTGACCTAAATTATTGAATTAATGACTCACAATTATTATTAAAATGACACAGTATGTTTCTATTTTTGAGGAATGTTAGATGGAGGGTTTCTATGCCGTGCTCTTCCCCCTCGTTAGTTCCAGGGTGACAATGGTACGATTTACTTCAAAAATAAAGTAGACGTTTCACAAATTTTTCGTTTCTTTTACATATCACAACTTCGCTTGAATTTCCCGAATATTTGCTATGTCGGGCGCATGTCCAGTAAGTAAAATTGAGTAAGTCTCCACAACGTAGGTTCTATTTGTTTTTCATTTCATTTTTCAGAAGATTTGTTGTTTAAAAGGTAATAAAAATTCATACCGTTCAATATTACTGAACGAACCCGGGTATGTTATAACATACATATATACATATATAGTATACTACAATAGACTAGATTTACTTATTGTTCCGATAAAAAAGCAAGTATTTAGAAAGTTTTCTGGCAATTCGTAATATAGCTATGAGAAGATTGATTAATAACACTTCTCGCGTGAAAGTAAACAAATATATACTTGATATTCACTATTCACCTATCAAGAGTTAACGTAGGTGGCAGCCTTGTCGAAAACCAGTCAGAAGCATAAACTCTCTCGCTCAAAATAAATCCAACACGCATGAAAACGATTGCACTTGAAAGGTTTTCAGCTAGAACAGGTCAAACCATCAGAACAGACCCTGACCAAGAGCTCTAAGAGGTTTATTTAGATTATTTTTTTCTGATCGTATATCGTTGAAGACATACAGGGTGTCAATTTGAAAACTCTCAATGCGAATAGCTCTGAAAGGAAAACAGATAGAAAAACGTAATTTGGTACAAATGTTATAAAGGTAGGGTCAACAATAGAACCACCATATTTTGGTTCTAAATACCCCTTGAGCCCTATGCACCCCAACCCCAATATTTTAAATGGCACCACCCCTTTTGTGATACCTAAAATTAAATATTTTTTGAAAAAAATCTTGTGCAGGTGAATACTAATCTCAAAAATATTTAATTTTAGGTATCACAAAAGGGGTCGTGCCATTCAAAGTTTTGAGGTTGGGATACATGACGCCCAAGGGGTCACTTACCCCATAACCAAAATATGGTCTATTTATTGTACCAAATTACGTTTTTTTTTTTTTTTTTAATTTTTTTACTTTCACAGATATTTGCATTGAAACTTTCCAAATTTACATCCTGTATATCAGAACTGAATTGCGATTTTGCGGTGATACTAGGAATACCATAATATTGTATCTTCCTATCTTCCTATATCCTATCTCGTATAGGATATCGTCGTCCAAACGGGCACTTAAAAAGCAAGAACCAAATAATAATGTATTTAACTATTTAACTTCTTAAATTAAATACCTTTCAAATATCATATCCCTCGATGCGATGAAAAGGGGGAAATCCAAAATTTTTATTTTAATTAAAGCAAGATAAATCAGTTTTGTAGTCGACATAGTGCACAAAAATGATAGGTACCAAACCTATTTTTATCACGCGCAATACGGTACTTGCATCTTTTTTTTTATCGCTGATTTCGTTAGTCGATAAAAAATAAGTCAACGCGTGTTTTTTGATGATTTTGATGATGGAGATACAACGCTATGAAATGTGCCTATGACGTCATAAATCATATAACTTTATGACGTCGCACATGCTTAGTATATCTATATATACAAAACTATATTTCCTACAGTTTGCAAGAGACAATGGTCACGTTCACCAGCACTCAACATGTTGAGTGATTAGTTAACGGCTTTGTTGAAAACAGATGAAAATCAGCTCTAGACCAATCAAAACTGTTCTACCTTGTGTATTCCACTTGTTGGAACAAAGCCGTTTACTAATCACTCAAAATGTTGAGTACTGGTGAACGCGACCAATATGTACTCAATTTATTTTTTCATTCCAGTTCCCTATTGTGTATTCCTTCAAGGTGATTGTACCAATTATAATAATTATTCTTATAGGCTTTGTATTGAATATGGCTGATTCGCCAGTCCACGCGCAAATGAACCACGAGTATCATTTCAAAAACAAATTATGTATTACCTTTAATAATTCCAGGTGATGCAAACAAAAGGTACACATCCATATTCGGATTTAATCTGGCAGCACTCTCCACTGCACATGCTTGCCTTGCATTAATAGTTAATTTTCCCTCCTTATGTGAATTACACGAAGTCTCCAGAAAAAATATATTCCTCTTCGTCACATTTAATGGTGCATTATCGGATATGTCGGGTAATTTTTGATCAGTTTCAATTGCGTGACAATACAATATATCTTCCAATTCTTTTTCCCCTGTGTGGGAACTCAGTAGATAGGACACAGTTATAAGCAGTACAATGAGGCTTAGAGAAATAGAAACTTTTATTTGGTTTGATAGGTTACCAATTCGTCTCAGTGAAGACCAACAACCTACGATAGAAAATATCAGTACTATTTACTATGATATACCTACTATTCGATCGTGTTTAGTATCTAATCGGCACAAAATGGATATAAATTAATCCTATAATAAAAATTGTACAAATAAAACAAGCGGATAAGATAAATCAAGTTGTTTCTTCAATTCCCCAAAAAAAAATAAGCAGGTATCATTAAGTAGGTACCTACTTTGATAAAAGATGATTACGTTTCAATTTTTTTTTAACTAGATAATGATGTCAAGAAAATTTTGAGTTAGGTACCTACCCATCTATTCCAAAGGAAATAATGAATAATTTTAGCTACTTTTTTGACACTTTTTCATTCATCCAATTTTACCTATTTTTGCTTTTTATTCTAGCCATATTATTTTTTTTAAATTACAGCTACAGCTTCGGGCTCTGTTTAAAGAAAAATTATTTTCCCGTCTAGAAAAACCCAGAGCAATTCCTTCGTTCAGAGAACACTGCGCCCGTAACTTACTTTCGGAAAAGTCTGATTGAAAGACGCGTCAAGAAAATCTTGTTAAAGGCTTTTGTTCGCATACGTCCTAATTTTATTTTCTCTTTTCCGGGGCTACGTTACATTCTATAAAATGGATGTTTATCTTTTATATATCTCTGAGGTTCTGTCTTCGTTTGTTTACCTTAATTGAATGTTGCTACAATAATATACAGTGACCTAGTACTTTCAGTTCAAAAAGGTCTCAAAGAGACTTTGCTAAGGAAAGATAACTTCGAAACAATTTTGTTCATGTTATAGCAACAAAGAGAAAGTAGGTCATTCAATTGATATGCTCCCACTAAAAAGGGTAAAAGGGGATATCAATTGTTGGTATAGACCGATTTGCAGGACCTACTAAAATATTAATCTACCCCTCTAAAAATTAAAATTTTTTTTCGCATTCCACAAACAAGAAATACTGATGCGAGGGGTGTAGTGAAAGTTGTCAAGGAAAATCCTGGAGCCCCCCTCTAACGGAACTGTCAACGCTAATGGCCCTCTACAAAATTTACATCCCTAAATATTGAATTAACAGTAAAGCAGCAAACGCCAGTCTCGATGAACAGTAAATTTGACGGTTGTCATACTGGCGCAATTAAGTTTAAAACGTTTGAACGTTGTTTTGTTTTTCGAAGCTCTAATTGCTAATGCTGGTGTCGAAGGACATCATTTAAAAATCTGAAATTGCGGCCTTGTATTTTCGAATAAAGAAAAACACACTTTTTGCCTTTGATGCCTGTCTATAGCTACCTTTTAGCTCTAAGTTGAGATTTCTTAACACAGCGATACACTGTGAACCAAATTTAGATGCCATTCGAATATTTATAACAACATAGGATAAGAATAAAAAATTGAGAAATATTACATACGAAATGACATTAACTGTTTCCACTTCTAACTTTCACCGTTGACTGATAATAATTATTGATATCACCATTATCAGGTAAAGACAGGATAAGATAACATTATGCAAATGCGTATTATTTATTCTGTCTAATAATAAGTAAACAATATTTTTCATTTCCCAACTGTTTTCATTTAGTGCTCTAAAATTGTACAAAAATTGTATGAATGGGGTACCATCAAAATGGAAAGTAATTAGAATTTTTAAAGTGGCCTAAATATCTTGTTTTTTTTTTTAAATTAAGGTGAAAAAGTTGAGTTTGAATTTAAGGTTAAGTTATGGATTTTATTTGATTTGCGTTCAAGAAATTCGGCAAGCAATAAAGCGTATATTTTTTTTTCCAGGTAGGTATGTTAGACTCAGATCATTCGGATCCTTATGAAGATTCAGGATCAGAATTTGTTCCATCAGAAGAAGATGGTGGAGTGACCGAGGCAATAGAAACAAGTAGTGAGGAAATACAAGAGGCAGAAACAAGGGATTTTACACGAGCCTCGGTCCCTCGGTGTTGGATATTTTTTTTTTTTTTGATCATTCGGACAGGACCTGGATTTTTTTTTAACGTGATATTTTTAGTTCTAATGCTTACCCCTGTTACTACATCCTGTATGCAGGGTGTTCCAAAAAGTTTGTGTTAGCACAAACTTAAAGAGCCTATAGGGGAAATTGATGTGAAATTTTTTTGCATATAGATACAAATCGTCGAAAATAAGCCGTTACGACAAAATATTTTTGAACACAAAGGGCCTCATATCTTGAAAAGGAATAAAAAAACCGACAAAAACAAAAACGTATCTGACTCCAAGAATGGTAACTTTTTTCTTTCCTCGGTGTTAAGGGAAGTAGGGTGGGCCAATTTGGACACTTTTAATAGGAAACATCAATTTCTGAGCGAGATACAAAAAAATGAGCCCCCCACTCTGAGGCTCAAATTTCATAAAATTTTGATTGGTGCAAACCGCATTTTGATATCTTCAACCGTTTAGCCGCTAGAGGGCGATTCTCGATTTTGAGCAATACTGTGAAACCTTCATAACTTTTTTCTTTATAAAAATAACTGATTTCCGTGAAAACTTTCTTGAGGCACTTTTCAAGCAGAATTTAGTGAAGTTCTCAGTTTTTTTCTAGTTGGCCCCAATTTCGAGATATTGACTAAAGTCCGGTTTTTTTCAATAGGAGACCCTATATATTGATGATTTAAAGTTCGATAGGTTTATCTCTAACAGATTCCAAGAAAAAAAATTATTTCTGTTTTTGTCATAAGAAACAATGTGTTAGAAAGAGGCCTTTCTCATTTTCCTTACAATACATAAAGTCCTTTTCTAACACATTGTTTCTTATGACAAAAACCGAAATAATTTTTTTCTCGAAGACTATTAGAGATAAACCTATCGAACTTTGTATCATTGAAATCAGTAAAAGCAGAGCTTTCCAATGAGCTATTGATAAATAGGGTGTCCTATTGACAAAAATCGGACTTTGCTCAATGTCTCGAAATTGGGGCCAACTAGAAAAAAACTGAGAACGTCACTGAATGAAAAAGTACCTCAAGAAAGTTTTTCCGGAAATCAATTATCTTCATAAAGGCAAAAGTTATAAAGGTTTCACAGTATTCCTAAAAATCGAGAATCGCCCTCTAGCGGCTAAACGGTTGAAGATATCAAGATGCGGTTTGCACCAATCAAAATTTCATGAAATTTGAGCCTCATAGTCGGGGGTTAATTTTTTTTTATCTCCCTCAGAAATTGATGTTTCCTATTAAAAGTGTCCAAATTGGCCCACCCTGTACTTACATATTTGATTTACGAAGAAAATCAACCCCCAATTTTTGTAACATTTTTACGTTTTCAGGTCCCTAGATTACGAAAATCCTGTTTCCTCTATCCGGTGTTTAAGCATAGTTGAATTTAATTATTTTCATTGCACTGTTCGATTTAGGCAATCAAAATAAGCCCTCATAATGAAAAAATAAGTACCTGAACGACACAGTTAAAAAAGCAAAAAATAATAAAATTTGATATCATTACCCACCAATTCAAACGGACGCCAAAAAATTATGACGTCACCGCCCGCCAGTGCAGAGAATTATCAACAGATGGCGCCACTGAAGGATCTTTTTTTGTTATCAAATATAATAGTCCAATAGATGGCGTTAGGAGATCACTGTACTTACAGTGACTAAATAAGCCTTTACGAAGTATGTTTGTTTGTAAGGCCTGGGGATCATTTTCCAGAATCCGGATCAGTCTGTACAAGACTGGATAAGGTCTGGATAAATCTGGATAAGGTCTGTAAAACTCTGGATAAGTGTGGATATTGTCTGGAAAACTCTGGAAATTTCTGGAGAGGGTCGAAAAAATTCTGGAAAAGGTCCCAATAGACCTGGGGATCATTTTCCAGAATCCGGATCAGTCTGAACAAGTCTGGATAAATCTGGATGAACTCTGGAAAACTCTGGAAAGATCAGTATAAGTCTGAATAATGTCTGGAAAAGACTGGAAATCTCTGGAAACGTCTGGAAAAGGCCTGGAAACTCCTTGAAAGGGTCGGAAAAATTCTGGAAAGGTCCCAAAAGACCTGGGGATCATTTTCTAGAATTCGGAGCAGTCTGTACAAGTCTGGATAAGGTCTGGATGAAGTCTGTAAAACACTGGAAAACTCTGGATAAGTCTGGAAATTGTCTGGAAGTCTGGAAATCTCTGGAAATCTCTGGAAACGTCTGGAAAAGGCCTGGAAACTTCTTGAAAGGGTCGGAAAAAATCTGGAAAAGGTCCCAAAAGACCTGGGGATCATTTTCCAGAATCCGGATCAGTCTGTACATACAAATCTGGGAAAGGTCCAAATAAATCTGGATAAAGTCTGTAAAACTCTGGATAAGTCTGGAACTTGCCTGGAAAAGTCTGGAAATCTCTGGAAACGTCTGGAAAATATTTGGAAATTTCCGGAAAGGGTCGGAAAAATTCTGGAAAAGGACCCAAGAGGGGAATCATTTTCCAGAATCCGGATCAGTCTGAATAAGTCTGGATAAATCTGGATGAAGTCTGGAAAACTCTGGAAAGATCAGTATAAGTCTGGATAATATCTGGAAAAGTCTGGAAATCCCTGGAAACGTCTGGAAGAGGCCTGGAAACTTCTTGAAAGAGTCGGAAAAATTCTGGAAAGATCCCAAAAGACCTGGAGATCATTTTCTAGATTCCGGAGCAGTCTGTACAAGTCTGGATAAGGTCTGGATGATTCTGGATGAAGTCTGTAAAACTCTGGATAATGTCTGGAAAAGTCTGGAAATCTCTGGAAATGTCCGCAAAAGGCCTGGAAATCTGTGGGACGAATTCAGGAATGACACACTCAATGTGAGTGTGACACCGGTGCGACGCACTAGCCGTTCATAAATTTTATAGGCACACCGAGTGCACACACTCTGTGCCGTTCAGAAAGTACTTCGGGCGCGCTCCAAGTGTCGCAGTGGTAACACCATAATTTTTTGGTGTGGCTGCGGTGTGATTGTGTCTTTATGTCAACAATGTCAACCATTCCTCCCATAATCTCAATAATCCCACCAAATATAAACAAAACACAAATTAGAATTAAAGTTTTTTCTTCAAATTAAAAAAAACAACAAAATAATACATCGAACTAAAAAGTGAAAAATAAATATAGTTTAAAAAAACTAAAAAACACGCTTTTATAGTAAATTGAATTAAAAAGTGAAAAATAATTTTTAATATATACAGAAATTATTAATGAACAAAAATTATTAGAATTATTGTGAAAAAAGCGTGGGGTGCTTTGTTCCACATTTCTCGTACTCATTGAGCCCCACGCTTTTTTGACAATAATTCTAATATTTTTTTTTCATTAATATTTTCTGTTTATATTAAACATTATTTTTCACTTTTTAGTTCAATTTACTATAAAAGCGTGTTTTTTAGTTTTTTCAAACTAAATATATTTATTTTTTACTTTTTAGTTCAATAAATTACTAAAAAAAAAATGCAAGTTCTTGTAAACATGAACATGGCGCAGATTTTTTAATATAAATATTTTTTTATTTATGGAATTTACTATTGTGGTGTAAATCTCCAACTGAAAAAAACAAATATTTTTTTTCAGCCGTGAAAGGGATTATAACCCACGATTGGTGAGTCTGTAAGTTGTCGTCAGCGAAGACCCGCGCCTTAGACCGTTCGGCCAACGAACGAACTTAAAGTAGAGGGATATACTTGAAAACCGCTTTTAAAATAATTTGATTTTATCAACATTTGTTGCGTAGTTGTTTATACAACAGTAATAAGCCGCTTGCTTTTAGTCCAAAGGAGAGTTACTTACAAACATACAAACAATCAAACAAACATATGTACGGGTATTTGATTATATTTGGCACCATACCTACAGCCTTTACTATTTAAGATAGAAAAAAATTGTAAATACAAAACTTGACAGTTTTTTTCTATATTTTCTGAAAACGTTATCAGAAAAAACAAAATCGCATCGGAAAATAGAAAAACGTAAGCAACTTCGACTTTTTTAATGGAACACCCTGTATATTATGCGATAAAATGAAAGATCTATTCTTTCTGATTCCAAATATATATATATTGATAACATTTTCGTGAGCAATTTTTGACATATCTCAGGTTAAATTATAAAGAATTTGCAGAGAAATTCCATAAGGATCTCTATCTTTATATAATTTCTTTGCAATTTAGTTATAATTTAAGCTGAGATATATCATAAAAGGCTCATGCAAATGTGATCAACATATATATATTTGTAATCAGGGAGAAAAGGTCTTCCATTTTATTGCAAAATATACAGGGTGTTCTATTTAAAAAAGTCGAAGTTATATACGTTTCTCCATTTTCCGATGCGATCTTGTTTTTTTTGATTACGTTAAGAGAAAATATAGAAAAAAACTGTCAAGTTTTGTATTTACAATTTTTTTCTATCTTAAATAGTAAAGGCTGTAGGTATGGTGCCAAATATAATCAAATACCCTGTACA